GAGGCGGGTTGATGAACTATACTGTAGCCTGCCACCAGGGGGCAACCAGATGCTTTGGCTTATTGTTTAATGGGTGCAGTCGTGTCATCGACTTCATTTACAGTCTATGGGGCTGATCCAGCGAAGTTCCAGTACCGGGATAGGAAATAATACAAAAACCCTCCAAAGAGCGATGAGAGCGTATTGATTAACTGGCAGACGACACGTCTGTTGGCTTTCAGAACAAAGTTGAGCTCTGCTGCGAAAACCTGTCGATTTCGATCCAAACTGAGTCAGACTCCTTATTCTGATAACCAGCAGACAGTTTGACCATCCAGCTGCTCCGCACAAAGACTGCTAATGGCACTGTGTGTGTGTGTGCGTATGGGGGGGGGGGGGGGGGGGGGGGGGTTACAAGTGTGCACACACAGCGCTCACACAGGGAGCCCACTTCCAAATGTCAAGTGTTTGTGAAATAAATGTCAACCAGCTCAGGGACGGGAAATCAAATGGCTCCTTAGCGCTGGCTGCAGCCGATACAACGCAAATAAGAAAAGGACAGAGCTGACAGGGAGTGGAAGAGAGAAAAGAGGAAAATATCCCTCATCGATTTCCCCCAAACTCCGACATGTCTAAAAACAAGCCCTCAAATCCGCGGGCGGCAGGTAAAGAGAGCGGACGGCGTAGTGCTCCCTCGGTGAGGAGGCTTTGGAAAGCAGCTGGAGGAGAATCTATTGACGGGCTGTCAAACGACCTGCCTCGCTCTCATGATGTCAGCAGATTCAGTGTGAGAGACCATCATGGCGGTTCTGGGGCTAAAATAATCTCTGGGCTTTATTCCATTTTCGGAGAATCTCAAGTCCGCAGCATAAGTAAAAGAAAAAAACTTTGTTTCAGACCGAGCGTCTTCCACTCCAGCGCCTGAGTTTACGAGTCACCGTGACAACCAACATAAAACAACGTATCCCACAAGTCTTAGCTGCCGAAACCCTTTAAATGGCAGCTGGAGTCATTGAGTCGTTCACAACAAAACTATTTGACTCGTCTTCAAATCAGAAGACAGTTTGTTCTGTCTCGTAGAGGTGATTGTTTTGAAACTATATTTATAGAATTATGAAATGACCAATGTTTTTGAATAAGAGGAGATGTTTGGCCACTGAAAGTATGAAGATGTGTTACAGTGGTCTTTATATTTTAAGTTTCCGTCGACACATTAAAAACAGGAGGACGTCGTGTTTTATTGATGAACTGAAAAAAACTCGTCAGCCTTTTGTTTTTGTCTTTCTGGAGTGAAGCAGGTTTCCCTCCATGTCCCAAGACTGTTCCATGTGTGTGAAGAGGTGTGTGAGAGAGAGAGCGAGAGGGAGTGAGACAGAGAGAGAGAGACAAGAGAGAGAGACAAGAGAGAGAGACAAGAGAGAGAGAGAGACGGAGAGAGACAGAGAGAGAGAGAGCAGCAGCTCAACTCTGCCCTCTAAGGTGAGCAGTGTGATTACTGTTGCTCTCTTTATCTCCATCAATCCATCTGAATCCTTTAAATCTGCTTCGCTGTCTGACATCTGATCAATAAAACTTTATATAAAAACAAATCCATAAAATTAACATTTCAATTATTAACACCATTGTGACCTCCACTGCAGTCAGCCACCAGGGGGCGAGGCAGATGCTTCGGCGGCCAACATGTCGTCCATCTTTATTTACAGTCTGTGATATATGGTTGTCTGGATGTAGCTACAGATGAGTGACAGCGAGCGACTTTGAGCCATGAAAACTTACTGAACAAAACGTCGATGCTGTCGGTTCCTTTCTGTCGGATGTGAAAAGCTGCACCTGCCTCTCGCTGCCGAGGAGCCGCTCTCCATCAGACGCCTAAGAATAGCAGCGTTTACATCGAGGTGTCGGGAGGTTCGGAGGAATGAAAGAGCAGAGAAAGTGTAGTTGAGATCAGATCCTCTGCAGCGAGGAAAGTTTCCGAGTCTGACAGGAGGTAACAGACGACTCAGAGAAAACAAGCGACGCTGTTCATCAGGCTGCTCAGATCTCTACGACTGCAGCTACAGCGTCTTTTGTCAGATCTACAAGAAGTGACAGAAACCGTCACTGTCCGTGTCTCATCTGCTAACATGGAGGAGGCGAGGTTTTATGATGAGGATAGGGCACCAAATTCCTCCATAACGCAGACTTCAGCTTCTGAGCTCTGACCTCACACCACGTGTCTCGTAACCAATAAAACACATGAAATCACAACACGCCTCCAAACTGCTCCTGTGATGTCATCAAGTGTCCGCGAGCCCCGACATTCGTGTTCCACTCTGAACGAGGTCATTCACACCTAAATGTTTTATCACGTCTCAACAAACAGTCACGATTGACGATTAGGCTGCAACGCTGTGTCCCCCTGAAACCCCCCCCCCCCCCCCCCCCCCCCCCCCCATCATAGCGGCGAGGAGATAATGAGGGAATTTTAAATTTTTCTGTGAACTATCCGTTTTAATAAACCGTAGAGAGCAGCACGGACGGTTTCGAGGCGGAGATGGTGAAGAGTCGAACCTTCATTTCCACCACGACACGCTGGAGCATTGTACCGGAGAAGAGGTGAACATGTGTGCATCAACCGACGACTGCAGTCACGTGACCCTGTGCTTTCCTGCTGAACACAAATGTCAGTAGGCGTCAGTGGCTGTTTTTGTCCCGTGTGACGAGGGGCTCCAGTCACTGAGGCAAACTGTTCGGCCGTTGAGGTCACTTACAGCTCAACCCTTCCTGTGTAAACATACGAAGGTCAGAGACGGAATCGAGCAGGACTCTGGGATCATTGATTGACCTGTTCATGTGAACCACTCAGCTCCTCCAGCCTCCGTCACAGTTGATCTGATGTTTGTCCGACTCTGACGATGTTTCACCGCAGGTCAAACTCCGGCATTCACCCATTTTCACGACCGCAGGCGTCTTCCTTCCACCCACACGAGACTCTGAAGTGCAAACCGGGGCTTTTCACCTCCACTACTGCAGAGAGGAGTGTGTGTCTGCGGAGAGATTGATTGCATCTGATGTGTGTGTTTGCTGAACAACACAAAGTCTTCCATTCCCTCTCATGTGACGGGTGTTTTCACAAGTAAACGTTCAGATCGACTGAAGCCAAACAAGTTATTTATACACAGCAGTGAACTGCTGCTCACGGAGTCAGTCTTTCCTTCACGATCCAGTCAGGTTTTTATTTTCTCATTTCATTCAGCTCTTCATCAGAATCAGTGGGTTTATTGGACAATAATAGAAAAGGTCTGTCGTCAAACAAGAAAACAATCTCAAGCTTATTGCTTTTAAACTGTCCAGCATGTCAGGAATCAGCAAACTGTGACGTGACCCGTGGCTCAGGTTTCACATTTTGTCCAGCGACATCTTGGTTTTTTAGAAACCACAGCCCTGCACACAGAGCTGATGAAACTAGAGACTGAGACATAAACTCCTGAGGACAAAGTCTACTGACGTTATAAAGTGAGAAGAGACATTTTCTACAGAAACTACCAGAGGAGACGTTTTCTATAGAAACTACCAGAGGAGACATTTTCTATAGAAACTACCAGACGAGACGTTTTCTATACAAACTACCAGAGGAGACATTTTCTATAGAAACTACCAGACGAGACATTTTCTACAGAAACTACCAGAGGAGACGTTTTCTACAGAAACTACCAGAGGAGACGTTTTCTATACAAACTACCAGAGGAGACGTTTTCTATACAAACTACCAGAGGAGACGTTTTCTACAGAAACTACCAGAGGAGACGTTTTCTACAGAAACTACCAGAGGAGACGTTTTCTATACACTTCCATATGAACTTCCTAAGTCTCAGTTGCATCTCGCTTCAGTGGTAAAACACTTCCTGGTCCAACAGCATCAGTCCCCCCCCCCCCCCCCGGTTTCATTTTAAGCCTGTGTGCAGATCCACCTCTGTACAGCTGTGACATGTGCACGTCCCTGCATTACAGTAATTACACAAACGGGATCAGTTTTTTATTTAATTCTTTTTTCAGGCAGCGTTGCCGTTGGCTGGTCGCTCCGTTGACTTCAGTCGGCGCTCGACGTGCCGTCTGTGGGGCCAAAGCCTTTAATCACCTCTAAGTCCATTGCACGGCCCAGCAAAGGTCTTTAAGAGCTTAAAAAGCACAACCGGCACACTTTCACACACATTTACACGTCGGCTCTTGGAGATATATTTAGTCCGGTTCTGGATAATTACCATCTGCTGGACAGTTTTGGTTTCATTTGAGATCTCATCGACAACATATTCTCCCGCAGCCTTCGTTAGTGATGCTGCAGGCACTTTTATTTTAAAATGTACAGGAAATCACGAGACCGGATGATTGAACACGAGTGGCCTCAACACGTTCGAGAGCGGCTCGAGTTCAGGAAGGAAGGAAGGAAGTCCTTGACCAATCGGCACACGGGACAGGATTCAGGCTGCAGCTTGAACACAACAGATCAAGACCTTTTTAGGAACCTCATCATGTGAGGTGCATAAAAAACATGTTTCCAGAAAGTTTCATGAGAAACCGTCTTAAACCGAGTCTTGGATGACATGACATGATGAGGCATGTTGTCCCCCCCCCCCACATCTTAGCGGTGAAGAGATGAGTGACTTTTCATGTTTCAGTGAACTTTCCCTTTAACACTGAGGGCCTCACTGTTGAGCTCTGTCAGAAAAAGACTTTTAAAGTGAAATCATTGACATAAAACAAACATCCCATCAATATAAAACTCAGATTTCAATAAGTGTCCATAATAAAAGCAGGTACTGGTCGATGCATTTGATTTATAAATAATTCAGTGTTTGCTATAATTAGCAGTTAGCTAATTCCCCTGACATATGTCGAAACACACACTCACACACACTTCCGTGTTGTGTGTGAGTGTCGCCGTAAAGCAGGAAGCAGTGTAGTAACGTGTGGAGTTCACGGTCCTGCTGCTGTTTACCTTCAGGTACGTTCACCTCTCTCCCTCTCTCTCCCTCTCTCTCTCTCTCTCTCTCCCTCTCTCCCCCCCGGTTCGTGTCACTACCCGCCGGTGGTGTCCTGGCCGCTGCGTCGCCCCCTCGACCCCCGCGGAGACGTTAGCTCCGGCGGCTAACTCCGGCAGACAGCCCCCCGTGTGAGGGCGGACAGCTGAAGCCTGTTAACGAGGGTTCCTGTGTGTGTGTGTGTGTGTGTCTGTGTCTGTGTGTGTGTGTGTGAAGCGGGTGGTGTTGATGAGCGGCTGGTTTGTGTCACAGGATCCGGGGGTTCGATGCCGGGAGACGCTACATGGAGGCTAACTGACTGACTGAGTCCGGAGCAGAGACACCGCAGCGCCGCATAGCACCAGGATGCCAGCAGGTAAGACTCGCGCGCGCGTGTGTGTGTGCACGATACATATACACACACTACACGTCCTCAGTGTGCACGTGTTGCGTTCGAGGTCACCGTCCTCTCATGTCATCAGCCAAGTTACACATAACAAAGTGCAGTGATGCGTTCACGGGCACTGGTCCGGTGCAGGATTCTGCAGTGTCACCTGTGGAGTCACCCTGGCTGCGTCTCGTGCTGCGTTCCAGAACACCTCTGGATGTCTGGAATTCCAATGCACGGTGACGTCGTGTCATGACGCCAGGGGGGTCAGCTGCTTCTGTAGAACATCTGTACTGACCTTCTCTGGAGTTTGTCTTTCACACGTGGGCACGGCAGCAGGAGATTCTTCGCTCGGACGTGTTTCACAACAACGCCGAGGTCTCCGGAGCGTTCGGGTGAAATCCTGGAATATCACGGAACCTGGGGACACGTGTCACATCAGTGAACTACATAAAGTCTCAGAGGGAATTTGACAAATGGGTCGCTTTACCAGAATAAACCAGAATACATTTTCAGGCCAGTTCCTTTTATTAAAACCACTTAGTCAAAAGAGAAATCGGTGATTCTGATGATGATTTAGGAAAAGGTCGTATTTGGTGGCGTGACTCTGGGACTTCCCTGCTCCTCCATGTGAATACAAGGGAAGCCCGAGGCAGAGCAGCACATTTTGAACCAAACTGGGTTTTATTTGTTTAAAAATATTCAATTCATGACAAAAGGAAAAACTATTTTTCAAATTTATGACCAAACTATATGCCATTTTTTACCAAACTTTTATGAACACATTTTATTTAAACTTGACCAAACTACTTTATATTGATTGAATAAATCCTTGGACGCCCACTGCAGTAGATGTTTTCACATTAAAGGTGATAAATCTTCCGTCTCTCAGATTCCCCTGGTACTCCGTGTGGGACTTTCCCCTCTGACCAGGGATCTGTTTTCTGTCCGGTGCAGGTGAACTGAGTCAAACCTCAAATGATCCAATGTTTTTCATATCGTCTTCAGCCTCTGTAACTTTGTCAGCTTTAATCTCAGACACACGCTCAGTGTAGCGTGAACAAACGAGACATGGGGCTTCAAAAGGTGTGTGTGTGTGTGTGTGCTGTCATGTCTGACAGCGTTTCTATTTTGGGAAAGGTGGACTTTGAGCGCCCTCGCCTTCCTTCTCCTGCAGCAGCTGCTCTGGCAGGTGACCAGCTGCTGTTTACTGCAGAACGGTTCTCGCCCAAAAACCCAGTTGGCTGCTGAGACGAGTAGGATGAGGAGTCGGAGTCTGTGGCCCCCTCCCAAAGAATAAAAAAAGAGGTCCCTCTCCAGACAGGCTGGTTATGGTACTGGAGCGGTGGCCGGTGCAGGTTCCTGCTCATGTGTCTGGATGTTGGTGTTTGGCTTCAGGCATCGTCTGCAGCTTCAAGGACTCTGCATCCCTGCAGGCCTCCGGTCTGCTCTGTAATTACTCCCAGTGGTAAACTGCTGATTACATTAGTCGTAATGTGACGCCTTCAACATCGATCCCCGATGGGCCGGTGCGACAGAATGAGGCTGTGTGTGTGTGTGTGACGTGGACAAACACTCTGCAGATGGAATGAACTGGTCCTGATCTGTGTGACGTTACTTTCTTCTCTCTGTCAGTTTTCTGATCAGGATGGAAAAGGATGAAACACTTTCCTTCCCCATCTGAATAACATAAATTAAAATAAAGTGTGAACTCACTGCTGGGATGGAGATGATGAGTCCTTTGCTACTGTTTATGAACGATGTGAAACAAGTTTACATCCACAGTATTAAGGTTTTAATACCATGCAAAAGAATTTCATTCATATCTTAGCCCAGACTTTTTGGACAGATGGTGATTTTAGGTAGTAAAACATTTCTGACACAGAAAAATCTGTGGATGTATATCTGCATTAAAAAATAAGTGATTCCTAAGAAGTTATCAAACCCATACGACAGAGTAATGTGATTGAGTCCTGATACTTCACATTAAGCAAAAACATTATTATAGATAAAGAAGTCAAAGCCATATATATATATATATATATATAAATATACACCATCACCTGTCAGAGGAGGGAGTTCTTTAACACTTAAAAAAAGCATCTGAGCAACTGGAGCTTTCAGTCACGTCACACTTTCCTCCCCACCAGATTGAAATCTCCTCGTTGCCGCGGGAGAGCAGATGTTCACATTTCTATTTTTCGAGACTTCAAGGACGTTTTAACCTGTCGATGATAAATATGATGATGATGCTGTGTGAGTCAAATTAAACATTTTGTACATGCGTGGGTGTGTGTGTGTGTGTGTGTGTGTGTGTGTGCGCGTGTGCTCTCCACTTCAGAGCTCTCACTCCTGGGTCTGTTATGGTCTAGAGGCTCTCATTATCCTTAAAGTGTTAACCACCTCAATTAAGTCATTATGTAGGACAAACCCGCCGTCGCTGCTGTCGCTGTCGTCACTGACACACACAACTACAGCCGAATGAACGGTCACATGAGCCGAGGTTGGATATGCAGTTAACTGATAGATTGAAGGAAGGAGGGCTGCTGGGAAATGGTCTTCTTTCCTTGTTATTGTATGGAGACGTCCGAATGTCCTTGGTCTGTCACTTTAGTGGATAAGGACAAAAGGATAAAACAAAAGCATGAAAGTTCAAATTTAAAATTTTTTTTTTCCACAGACAGGAAAAATGTCAAAAGTAATCATCAGGTCATGATGCTTTGTCGTTTACGTTGTGAGAAGCAGGTTTTTCACAAAGCGCGACATCCATCCATCGTCATCCATCTTTATTCACAAGATGGCAGCGTTCACAGAGCTTCACCGACCTCACCTGCTGTGAGTTACTGTTAAAAACCCATCACCCATTTCCTTTCCATCGCACCTTCTAGTCTACGCAACCGTCAGCATCATGTTCCCGTGTGTCCAGATCTACAAATTTGTGTCCGTTGAGAACTCAGTCACTTCACATGCATCTGTGTCACAGGTGGGCGTGGAAGTATTTTGGATGCAGATGGAATCAAAGTCAATCAAACCCAGTGGGTCTGTGTTGTGTTGTTTTGATGCTCCGCTGGCTAATTGTGTGTGTGTGTGTGTGTGTGTGTGTTCGTGCTGTCGGCTCCTGTGCTCTAAGTGCGGCTCCTCCCTCTGGTTTTCGCTGTGATTTGTATGCGTAGTGGAAGACGGTTTGTTCTGCAAAGGAGGATTTGGCCTAAATATAACTTCAAAAGAGACGCGGCTCCCTCTGTTTCCTCCGCCGGTCCCGTCTTTGCAGAACGGGAAGCTTTTATCCTTGTGTGCTTGTTGTGTTCTCCTCCGGCCTGTTTTGTACTCTGATGCGCGTCTCTATCAGCTGCAGACAGGTGCGGGTACAGAGACGATGTTGAGCAGCAGTAACCGCGGCGTGTGAAAGGGCTGAGCAGGAAATAACAGGTTTACTTCAGTCAACACCTTCGAAATTGAAATTTCTGTGTGTGAGAATGAAAACACACCTTCATGTGCAGATTAACGATGATGGGCTTAATCAGGGGGAGTGAATATGAGCCGTAACGTTTGGTTCCCTGGTGAACTAAAATAAAAGACGTGGGGTCGCTCCTCAGGAAACTATTCTGCCTGTTCTACGAAGAACGTTTGTTGAGGCCAAAAGTATGTGGACACCCAATCATTACCTCTCATAATTGAGCATGTGGTTGTGAAACTACGCATCTCTGCTGACCACTGGGAAGATGGGAAGTGTGCATGTGCCCAACTGCCACCGCATCTAGGCTCAGGTAGTTTGCATCAAATGTCGTCCCTCGGAACGGTCAACAGTCTAAACCGTGGTGACAAATTCGCGATGAGAGCGCTTCTACCCCAACGCTCTTTCTAATGTGCCCGCCACTGCTGCAGACGTCTGTGACTGTTCAACACACACAGTTTATACTGTGTGTGTTTATTCCGTTCATCATCACACAGGCCTCAGAAGAAGTGGGGACCATTCAACATCTCCACACGTTTCAAAATCAAGGAACACAACGAATGATGTGTCCTCACTTTTAAATAGAAAATCTCATACGTCCCCAAAAGTGTTGTCCTTTTCCAGAAACAGAGATATTCAATAAAAATAAAACACATGCTCAGTTACACAATCACAGAGGAACACACACATACACACACACACACACATATATTTGGAAATGCTAAATTCCTTCAATAGCCGTCCCTCTCTGTAAATCTGCATAATTACACTCCAATCAGGATGATTAAAACAACCTCCAGCCAACACACACACACACACACACACACACGTGTCGTCACTCGAGTACACGTGTCTCTGCATGTGTGTGTGTCTGTGTGTGTCTGCATGTGTGCAGGATGTGTAACGTATTGCCCGCTCAGTTCTCTGGGGAATCGGTACCGAGGTGGTTTCAGTTGTTCTGACTCGACTCTGCAGAGCTGCAGTTTGTCCTGCTGCTGCTGCTGCTGCTGCTGCTGGCGAGGGGAAACACAAACACTGCAAGGTCAGAGAGTCAGTGTGTGAGGGAGAGAGAGAGAGAGAGGGAGAGAGAGAGAGAGAGAGAGAGGGTTGAAGCTGAGAGAGAGGGAGAGAGTCACTGAGGTCCACCTGGCAGGCCGTCCTACGCTTCACCTCCAACAAGATGGATTCAGAGAACAACGAGTCGGGTAGGGGCCAGTTTTTTAAATTTGTAACTCTCCAGTGTTTGTGTGCACGACAGCCAAGCTGTACCATAGTGTGTGTGTGTGTGTGTGTGTGTGTGTGTGTGAGAAAGAGAGAGAGAGAGTAAAGGAGGCTAACAGAGTCCAGGTCTGTGTCTCTGTGCGGCCATTGATCTTTTCTATCGAGCCCCACTCATCCCAGCCGTCCAATCAGCCGCCTGCTTTCACATGACTGAAACACTTCGAGACCAATCGGAGCGAAGTGACGCAGATTACATGTTTCTCACAACGAGTGAGGGATCGGCCACTTACAGACTGAAGGTACAGAGCCGTCA